AAAAACCCTGGCCCAGATGGCTTCACTGGAAAATTCTACCAAACATTCAGAGAAGAGCTTACACCAGTACTACTCAAACTACTTCAGAACATAGAAAAGGAAGTGACACTATTGAATTCATTCTATGAAGCCAGCATAACCCTGATACCAAAACCAGGCAAAGATGCCACAAAAAAGAAAATTACACACCAATATCTCTCATGAATATAGATGCAAAAATTCTCAACAAAATTCTCACCAGTAGAATTCAGCATCATATCAAAAAAATAATACACTATGATAAAGTAGGATTCATACCAGGTATGCAAGGATGGTTCAACATTAAAAAATCAATCAATGTGATCCACCACATAAATAAAAGGAAAGAAAAGAATCACGTGATCGTCTCCATTGATGCAAAAAAGTCATTGGAGAAAGTCCAACAAGCATTCCTGATAAAAACTCTCAACAAAATAGGTATAGAGGGGAAATTTCTCAACATAATAAAGAGCATCTATGCAAAACCAACGGTCAACATCATTCTTAATGGAGAGAGGCCTAAAACATTCCCCTTGAGAACAGGAACAAGACAAGGATGACCTTTATCACCACTCCTATTTAACACTGTGCTGGAAGTCCTAGCTAGAGCAATAAGGCAAGAAAAAGAAATAAAGCCATCCAAATTGGTAATGAAGAAGTGAAACTGTCCCGATCTGCAGACGATATGATACTATACACAGAAAGCCCTAAAGACTCCAAGAAAAAGCTACTGGAACTAATAGAAAGATTCAGCAGAGTAGCAGGATACAAGATAAACATACAAAATCAGTTGGATTCCTATACACCAATAAAGAGAAGAATGAAAAGGAAATCAGGAAAACAATACCATTTATAATAGCCCCTGAAAAGATAAAATACTTAGGAATAAATCTAAGCAGGGATGTAAAAGGCCTAAATAAAGAAAACTACAAAACACTACTGCAAGAAACCAAAACAGATGTACATAAATGGAAAAACATACCATGCTCATGGATAGGTAGACTCAGCATTGTGAAAATGACAGTTCTACCCAAAGCAATTTACAAACATAATGCAATCCCAATCCAAATACCACTGACATTCGTCAAATAGATGGAAAAACTAATCATTAACGTTATATGGAAAGGGATGAAGCCCTGGATAAGTAAAGCACTACTGAAGAAGAAAAATAAAGTAGGAGAACTCACACTACCTGATCTCAGAACCCACCATACAGCTACGGTAGTCAAAACAACCTGGTAGTGGTAAAACGACAGACACAGTGACCGATGGAACAGAATTGAGAACCCAGATGTAAATCTATCCACCTACGGTCACCTGATCTTCGACAAGGGCCCAAAGTCCATCAAATGGGGAACAAATAGTCTTTTGAACAAATGGTGCTGGCAAAACTGCCTGTTCATCTGTAAAAAAAATGAAACAGGACCCTTACCTCACACCATAGACAAAAACTAATTCAAAATCGATCAAAGACCTAAATATAAAGCCAAAAACAATAACGTTCATAGAAGAAAAAACAGGATCAACACTAGAGGCCCTAATACACGGCATTAACAGGATACAAACCATAGCCAACAACACTAAAACTCCAGAAGATAAGCTAGGTATCTGGGATCTTCTAAAAATTAAACACTTATGGTCATCAAAAGACTTCACCAAAACAGTAAAAAGAGAACCTACAGACTGGGAAAAAATTTTTGGACATTACAAATCAGGCAAAGGTCTAATCTCTAAAATCTACAAGAAAATCCAACACCTCTACAACAAAAAGACAAACAGTTCAATTAAAAAATGGGCAAAGGAAATGAACAGACACTTCACCAATGAAGACATTCAAGCGGCCAACAGACACATGAGGAAATGCTCATGATCACTAGCCATTAGAGAAATGCAAATTAAAACCATAATGAGATACCATCTCACCCTGGCATTACTGGCACAAATCAAAAAATCTGGAAATAACGCGCTGGAGAGGCTGCGGGAAGATTGGAACTCCTATGCACTGCTAGTGGGAACGCAAAATGATACAACCATTTTGGAAAACAATACGGCGCTTCGTTAGAAAGCTAGAAATAGAACTACTATATGATCCAGCAATCCGACTCATAGGAATATATCTTAGAAAATAAGAGCTAGCACATGAATAGACATATGCACACCCATGTTCATTGCAGTATTGTTCACAATAGCAAAAAGATGGAAACAACCTAGATGTCCACCAACAGATGAATGGATAAACAAACTATGGTACATACACACAATGGAGTATTACACAACAATAAAGAACAATGATGAATCTGTGGAGCATCTCATAACATGGATGAATCTGGAGGACATTATGCTGAGTGAAATAAGTCGATCACAAAAGGACAAATCACAAAAGGATAAATGAGACCACTACTGTAGAAACTCATGAAAAGGTTTACACCCTAAAAGGAACAATCTTTGATGGTTACAAGGGAGGGGAGGGGTGGGGGAGAACACTAAACAGACAATAGATAAGTGGCAACTTTGGTGAATGGTAAGACAGTACACAATACTGGGGAAGCCAGCACAACTTGTCCAAGGCAAGGTCATGGAAGCTCCATGGACACATCCAAACTCCCTGAGGGACCGAATTGCTGGGCAGAGGGCTGTGGGGATCATGGTCTCAGGGAACATCTAGCTCAACTGGCATAACATAGTTTATAAAGAAAATGTTCTACATTCTACCTTGGTGAGTAGTGTCTG